AAGTCCCGATCAAAACATCATGAAATGAATTCACTTCCAAGAAGAACGATCGTCCTTGTTCTAAAACCGATTTTGCCATAATAGAGTAAAATTCGTTTCACAGAGAGCGAATATGTTCGAGGAAACTTCTGACTGCTGTTCTCCCAAATTACACGCGCACTGACACATCGCTGACAAGTCGAAAATTAATCGTTTTACATTCCTGGAACCGTGAAACAGTTACTGACACACACAACTCATTAAAGTCTCCAAATGAATCATCATGATTAATGATGTGCGGATGCTCCTTGTAACTGTGCAAATCTGAGGTGCTCCTTCTAACAGGTTCTGCGTGGTTCCCATTACCTATAGTCTAAATCTATTGGACGATGGTACATCAGTATAATCATTGGTTGTTCTGCCAATGCTGCAGCGTATTCAATCCAAAAGAAATTTCTTGCAGACCTGGTGCAAATAATTCGCAATAGGGTTCTGCCCAAATCGTATCTGATATTAAAGATTCGTATAGCATCACGACATTTAGGAAACCAAGAAAAATATTTTCTTTCCAGGACTGATATATATCTAATTGATAATCCGAACTCATACTTTATTTCATAACCAAGGTACTAGAAACACGCACACCCATATTAACCGTTTGCAGCAGTACAGCCGGTCAGTTACTAATTTTATTTGGAACGTTTTTTCCATTCGTCTGGTGTGATCATCGTAGTTAAATGCACAGGTTGACGACTCTGTGCGCGGCACCCAGCCAAAAATTCACCGAAACACCAATGTTGCTTTTGACTAGAACGGAGCCTAAAAATTGGTTAGTCTTGACGGGTACATGATCATGCATCACGTGCTTACCGCAGAACATATTGCTTATACGCACAAGGATCTGGGAGAGTCGTATAACAATAAAATGATGGATTTATAAAATAACGCTGAGTATGCGTGCACAAAGAAGAAAGCAGATATGATAGGTTGGTTTTATCACAGTATAGTACGTCAAAAAATACCACTTAAGATGATGCCTACTCTAGCATATGTTGCAGTGCTAACACGCAGCACAGGCTTGAAAATGCTGTACATGTGCGAATTATTACGACCCTACGGCACGCGAGTAAAGCATGACATTGGTGCAGCAGTAGAGCGATAAAAGGACTATTATCTTTATTTTCGAGACCAAAGGTATTCTATCGCACAAGGGGAAACCAAAGCGATAAGAAAACGCTCAAAACTTTTTTATTCCGGTCACTTTCGTAATGAGGTGTTTCTTGCACCGGAATTTGTCCACATGTTAGATGCCATTGGTGAAAATCGATCAGAGCATAAAAGCCGTTGCAGATTCCAGCAAGCTTATTGGTTTAGCCCGTCTACCTGCGAGGTTTTCTTGAAATCAGAAATAATTTGTTCAGACGTGTGAAATGTACTAAGTTGAACAAATTACCAAAATGTTAGATGAGCGATACAGTAGAACGAAAGTGAGAACGACAAAAAACGGGTGTATGCACAGTGCACAGTGCACACTACACACAAACTTGAGTTTTAGAACCAAGCGCCCCTATTTTCGTTACTTCAAATAAAGCCATTTAGGACAGGCATAAGGAAACATTTTTGGCTTTAAGTAAGACGCACTCTAAGGTGCTCAGCAAAACTTTATTTTGCCAATTTTTGATGCTGATTCTCCAAGTCGTCGTTTGAAGTGCTGTAGATGTGCGAAAACAAGTAGACATTTCAGCACGCCCAAAAAATCCATAGTGCCTCGTCATTCTTGTCGATAAGCCATTGTTGTACGACTGCATCTCGTTTGGATCGGCTGTCGTCTTTTCTATCTTTATTTGAGACTACTTTAAGTCGATGCTTCGGTTAACGGACAAGTCATCGGACTATATTGACTCCCGAGGCTTTCGATCTTTCTCAGACAGACAAATATCAACTAAGCGAGGTTCTTTCGAAGCAAACTTCTGTCCAGTATCCAGCGCACGCATGGCGAATTGGGACAAGTGGTCTCATCCTATTTATTGCTAGTTGGCGTTCACCTATGCATGTGGTAGTCGTAGTCATGCCGATTAGGGTCAGAAATATTAACTGAGATACAACAGTGTTCACCGATCAGGTTACGGAACATTGATCTCCCGGTTGTACCTTGCGCTTTATTCAAGAGCTTTTGCCGGCAGTCGCATAACAATTAGCAACCTGTGCAGATGTTAGTTGATCATTAGACCCACACTTTTGTTTCCACAGCAGTGGACATTTTGATTTTCTTTGTTTTGGCAATACCCCATTATCTGTATATGTTGCAGCCGCTGTCAAACTACCTGCAGGGACTCCAAACCTAATCCTAAGGCGCAGGAAGAAGCGCCTGTCCTGTAACCCGGTTGGTTAGCTTCAGTCCGTTATCACGCATACATATTTTGAAGCAAACGGAGATTTTTGGGAAATTAAACAAATGGTATTTTAAGTTCAGCGAATATTCCCATGTTGCAATTGAAAAGTCAAATTGGCGAACACGTGTTTTCAGTAACTCTTCATCAGGCCAAAACGGTTACAATGAAGTTTAAGTTATGCGAATTACATGACTTATAAATGATTCGGGACAATTAACATCGATCGTTCCCACGCCACTCGCATGACAAGGCGTGCTATGGCGTGGTCGGCGTGTCGTGGTAATTGGGTTCGGGGGGCGAGGAGGAGGGGGGGCATAGGCTGTGAGTGCGTCGTGTACCTTGTGCACCCAACCTGGCATCAGGAGGTTGGAGCGACGTTGTGGTCGGCGTCGGCCACGGAAGACAGAGCGCCTGTGTCAGAGTCTTCTGACAGCATAGCACTGGATTGGCTAGCCGTATAGCCACTGCCTCAGCTGTAGCTAGCACCCGTTGGCGTAGGCCTTTGGAGAAGCCTGCTGGTGTCCGGTAGACAATCTGAAAGGCTTCTTTGGCATCGACTCGGTGATTCGTATCGACAAGATGTGCGAGAATAGAACTCGAGATCGATTTCTTCTCACCTTTGCCTAGCCAGGCCGGTATGTGTTCACGTACTCTCTTTTCCAAACGCCTCGTTGTACGGCCGATGTAGCCCGCTCCACAGGAGCAAGTGAATGAATAAATACACATTGATGTGGCCTGCAACGGGAGTCGGTCTTTACCTCCCAAGCGTAGGAGGGGAGAGTTAGTGAAACACACACGTAAGTTCGCCGCGGGGAAAGCGTTAGTGATCGCTGTCTTCAGACGTCTTTTTACCAGTTCACTTGCTGCGTCTCCCTGAAAAGGCAATTGTATAAATAAGTCCTTCTTTTCTGCAGTTGCCATGGTAGGTTTTGCAGTACGCTCCCCTATATTTCGAAGGATAAATCTTTCTGGATATCCGTTTTCGTGGAGTGTATCCCGCAGCTGCTGCAGTTCTGCCTCCACAGTCTCGGGAGAGCAGATGCGTCGCACTCTAGCTGCCAATCCCTGGACTAGATTTCGTTTGATGTTGAGGGGAACAAAACTGTGAAAGTTAATGTATTGTCCCGTCCAGGTTTTCTTTCGGAATACTCTACGTTGGATAGACCCATCCTCTTGTCTGTGCAGAAGAACGTCGAGGAACGCGATTTCATTGTTTGCCTCAAACTCTGCAGAGAACGTTAGCGAGGGGTGTGAATTGTTGAATTTTTGAATCAGGACGTCTGTGTCGGTGGTAACATCCGTCAGGCAGAAAATATCGTCTACGTACCGACCGTAGAAGCTGAGGTCATTAATGGTGTCTTGTAAACTTGTCATCTCGACTTTGCCCATGAAGACATTTGCGAGGAATGGGCCGAGCGGTGAGCCCATCGCTACGCCGTCTATTTGCCTGTACAATTGACCATTGCAGAGAAACTGGACGTTTTGCGTGCACTTTGTCAGAAGCTCTTTTAGCGTCTCCAACGGCATGCCTAACGGGTAGTTCGTGTCGCGGATAACGTCACAAAGGTAGTTTATTGTTTCGGCTACGGGTACATTAGTAAACAATGATGCTACGCCTAAAGATAGCATCCTCCGTCCGTCAACGTTAATATCCTTGATTGCCTCGACAAACTCGAAGGTGTCCTTCAGACTTAGGGGATACAAATGACTTTGCAGCCTATGCCCCCCCTCCTCCTCGCCCCCCGAACCCAATTACCACGACACGCCGACCACGCCATAGCACGCCTCGTCATGCGAGTGGCGTGGGAACGATCGATGTTAATTGTCCCGAATTATTTATAAGTCATGTAATTCGCATAACTTAAACTTCATTGTAACCGTTTTGGCCTGATGAAGAGTTACTGAAAACACGTGTTCGCCAATTTGACTTTTCAAATGGTATTTTGTAAATTTTCGACCGTGGCACCCCAGGCCGATGTCAGACGTGAAGGGAACGTGATAAACACTTAAAATTTAAGTTTCGCCAATATTCCCATGTTATAATTGAAAAAAATTATTCGGAAAACAAGTGCCTTCGGTAACTCATCATCAGACCGAAGCAGTTATAAAGAAATCGAAAGTATGCGAATTTCACAGAGTTTATAATTGACTTAGGGGCTATTAACACTCATCGTTTCCACGTCACCCGCATAGCGACGTGGGCGTGCTAGTGTCATTGGTAAATGGGAGCAGGGGGAGGTGGAGTGTGACATAGGCTGTGAGTGACATTTGTAAGCCGACTACGTTGACAAGTCTGAAATATTGATATTGCGTTGTCGGCGCTGCCAGTGGGTCGATGTTGTGGCCTGAAGTCGCGTTTTGATTGGCCAGCAGTTTCAGAGACCGGCTTAAGGTACCTGCTCGTCTTTTGCTTTTTCGGACTTGATTTAAAGCTACGGAGGCCACGGGAGATTGCTCACAAATAAGAGAGAGGATTGAGATAATCATTTCTTACTTAGTAATCTTCATCAGTCAGAAGCACGAAATCCCAGATGTGCAGAACCTCTGAACTGATCCCGAGAACTTAGCTCACTGAGCCTAACGCCATAACCACTGAGCCGCGTACTCGTTGCACTATCAGTCTCGGTTGGATATAGTAAATATGGAAGAGGGCGCTCATCGATTGCGTTACGGAACACGTCCCATTAAGCTTCCTCACCATATCTAGAGCGTTACAGGCAGTCATAATGCGGCGATTAACGTTAGGTGACGAAGATTACTGACAAAACCAGGAAAAACGGGATGGCCACTGATGTCAGCATTTTCCAGTTAACCAGGTCCATATTGGTAGTTATGGGGATGGCAGTGACGCGTTTTATATAGGCAAACTATCAGTCCAATAAAAGTATCTCACTATTACCAGGATGCGCCGATGTCTTTGCTGGTGTAAGTCTATTGGAAGGTCACATCCTATTCCGTGAACAACAGATAGGTTGTGCGGGATGATTGGTATGTATGAAGCACGCGTAGACGGCCCATTTACATTGTCAGGTAAAAAACAACTTAAGACGGTAATTTACAGAGTCCAGCCCAGATCTTCCTTAAAGAACAGTGCGAGAAGTACATCCCTCCGTTTTTCGAGGATTTCGTCATCATCGGAAGGTCTCTAAATTGTTTTCGTTCGCATGTTCAGAGTCCTAGAGGGCAAGTGCAGGTATTCGGTTCGGACCAGGCCCCTGAGCGGATTTCAGTCGAGGCAGCCCCACCATTATTAGTGCCGACGAGAAGTACAGTTCCTACATTGAGGAAGAAAAGGTGAAATTATATATTAAATGGGCGGAAAAGAAGAAAAAGTATTAAACTCTCGTGTGTAGACTGATACTCACACTGACAGAAGATATAGCCAGTGATGATGCTAGTCGGTCAGCATAAAGGCTGAAATTTCAAGCATTCGGCCAGTCCGTCAAATAAGACACGAAAACATTTTCGTCAATTTCGAGAAGCAGCCGACTTCTAACAAGGTCTCACTGTCCATGCACTTGCCCAATGCGTGGAAAACATGCGAAAGACGGTGCAAAAAAGGCAAATCTGCATATGGGTAAAACGGATTTTAGGAATTTTAGAGTCAATTTGAGGGTCTCAGACAACAATCGCCTCGAGTATACGGAGGTTTTGCTCGCTAGCGTCAAGCTATTCCGATTGTGTGATCGTCGTCCGAAAGGTATCAGAGACCAAACAAACAGGTTTAGTAATGCGAAAACTATGCGTTTTGCGGCATCGCAGCTGTAAACTATATCAACTTTGATTACAAATTAATTCAGGTTAAATTAAAGAAGGAGAACACAGAATGCAGCGAGACATTGAGCGACGACAGGTTTGAAATAGGTGTAAGGTTAGAAAAATCCGCTAACGTAAGCTTGAAAATATCAAAAGCAATTTGGGGAAGGAAATATCGACTAAGAAGTCCGCAAGTAGACACAAACGGTCCGTAAACTGCATCACTACACAAACATGTAGCCATTGAATCAGGGCGATAATGAGAGAATACGTGCTAAAAATCAAAGTGTTGTCATTGTTGTGACTGTCGTCGATTTCCATTGACGAGACAAATGACTTCGAGTTTTGACTGAGGTGATCAAGAAAACAATAAACTGTCAGAAGTCAAGGAAATCCATGGCAAGCGTCGTCTGTTAGATTAGTGACAAGGTGCTGTGTGAGGGTGCAAGGTTATGACATTTATGCATTCTGCCCAGTTCATGTTACCTAATGCACTGTAGGTGGGCTAACGGTGGTAGAGGGGCCTTACGAGTGGGGCTAAACAAAGGACACAGAGCAAGAAGACACGGGAAATAGATAAATTTCTGCAGAAAGTCTAATCGTACGCTGTCATTTGGCAAATAAAATGGGCACGATAACCGAAAAGAATAAACGAAAAGCAATTAAAAAAAATAACGGATTTATAATAAACGCCGTTGGTAAGTTTACATTTAGTTAGAAAGGAAACGAAATTTTAAACAATGAGAACGGTAAACAATAAATGATAGTTACAGTCACACTGAACTTAGCGTATATATCTGGAGTTAACATGTACTTGGAAATCATGCAAGATACGGTTACCCATTCCCTTTTCATTACTTATGTCCTGTAGGGTTTACATTTTGCATCAGATGGTAAAAGGCCCTGTCAGAAAACTCTGCTTGGCAGTGGCTTTTCATCCTCGTCTAAATAAGCGGCTAATGGTAAACATCACTGAGTTAGAAATTCTACGTTATCTTTGACGTTATTTGTACTACACTTTACCTTATAATGCTTACAAATAGATGATATTCAGGCTTGTATGGTTTTGAGAGTCATCGTTTTTGAGAACGCAAAGTGGAGTGCCGAAAATCACAAGTTGTTATTTCTATCTTCTCAGATTTATTTTCCTGTCCAGCTTCAGATAACCACGCAGATTACATACAGTAGGCGGGTTAACTCATGAAATGTCAACCGAAATTCCGATATGTGTTTTCGTTTCGAAAAGATTAATGAAGTAGAGTTGTAAAACTAGTCAGCCTGCAATATAATTCTATAGTGTTTTAGTTACCACAGGATTCCGGCTTTCGAGCTAACTTCCTTACGACTGCTTGCAAAAACCACACTCCGAAAAAATGATCACTTAAGTAGCATGCTATTTTCTTACTGATCTTCGATGCCTTGAAATGTCAAAATTTTTTTTCATGGAAAAAATGCATTCATGCATTTGCTCATTCGGTAGAAAAGTACGTCTTCTTCCAATCATAAACTTGAAAAAAGGGTATAGTTCGGTTTTCAAATATTTTTACAATTCCCGAATAATTTTAAACCCGCTCTACCGTTACACTTGGATTCAGGGTTTCCAAACTACAAGCCGTATATTTTCCGCGTATGGAAAATCACACATTTCTCCACGGTAATAAAGGATGCCATGTAGGCTTTATAAAAGTTAGCAGTGGATTAGATTCATATTGTAAACTTTACAAGCCACATTGGTAAAGGCAGAGACATTGCTATTTATGAACGGCCATTTCACAACATTTAAAAGTCGCAAAATTAGAAACTTTTTAAAACCGAATTATGGCCCACCTTCGAGTATAAAATTAGAAGACGTAATTCTCTACCGAAGGAGCAAAAGAATACATATTTTTATGCATGCTTTAAGTGAAATATAATAAGACATTTTGGAGCATCGGAAATCAATGAGAAGAATTCATACTAATTAAGTGCTTGTTTTTACAGAGTATAGTATTCGCATGCAGTCGGAAGGAAGTTCATTCGTAAGCCGGCATCCTGACGTAACTAGAATATCATAGAATTTTTTTGCAAGTTGACTAGTTTTGTAACGCTACTTAATTAATCTTTTCGAAACGAATACGCATTTCGGAATTTAGGTTAGCATTACCTGAGTTAATCCACCTACTGTATGTGTAACCAATGCATTCTATGTTACGTACCCATAGAAATGATAAATCTCAAGGTTATGGGGGCTAAGGCGTTAGGCCTACATGGTCGTGTGTGCGGAGTTCATGTTTTTGTCTAGCATTTTGGTTGAAAAAAACACTGGCCTATTTTGACGTCGATTGTGCTAGATGGCTGTGGGGTAGATATTGGCGAGATATGCCGACTGAAATGTGCAGAGATCGGAATGGTTATTTCTAGTTAGCTTTCCCTCGTAAATCAGTCCTACAACAAATCTTATAATTGGAGGTCTAACTATGAGCTTAAGAAGAGCGACGAATGATAGTATTCGCTCTTCCTCAACGATCGCATTTTATTGAAAGATTAACATTTTTCGACCGAAAATGCGGCTTCAGTGTTGACAGTTAGACTGAGTGACCTAACTCTGGCGCAGAATACCACCCTTTCCAGTTTTTGTCGAAGTGCTGCAGTAGGTAATCTGTAGCAAAAAGATACGTACTTTAGCTGAAATC